GGCCTGCCCCAGACTGAGCTAGCCCCCCTCCGGAAGTGATAAACCCACCGGTGGCGGCAATGTCCACAGTGAACGCACCTCCAAAACCCAGAGACCAAGTTAACCACTAAAGCAGGCCCCAGGATTGACAGCAGCTCATAAAACCAACAACCCCCAGGCCACCGCTGGCTGGAACGCGGGTTTACTCTGTGTTCTTTCTCAACCCCAGTGATATAACTAGAATTTGAGATTACTTTCCTGGAACTCTCAGCTCTACGATTTAGGTGCGGGGCTCTACGATTTGGGTGCGGGGTGCGGGGTGTGTGTCCTAGACTGTTCTCTGAGTTATCCATCCCGAGGCTAACTGCAGGCTGGAGGCACAACCCTGGGTTCCAGGTCCTCTCCTTTGCCTTGGGCCTTTCTCTCCTGACACGCTACTGTTGGGAGGGACAGGGACATCTCCTCCCCTCCATGTGGTTCAAATAAAGAGTGCAGGGTCACCTCTGTGTGTCTGTCCTCAGTCGGTGTCCAGTGCCAGGAGAAAGCGGGGGGGGGGGGCAGTAGAAGCCCCATTTGTGGGTTTACAAGTGAACCCGGTTTCACAACCTGGGCTCCTACACATGAACGTTCAAATTACACATGCTAGGGGCCATGAAACTGACCCAAAACTGGAGGAGGAGACAGGGAATTGTAGGTCTCTGAAAGACTGCAGTTTAGTGAGGGGCCAGGGCCTGGACCCCTAGGTGTGAGGGAGGAAAAAAGGGGCCTGGATTTCTGGGCGTGAACAAGGGGAGCAGAAGCCTGGACTCCGTGAGAGAAGAGAGAGCTGGCTTCCAGATTTCCCCGAGTCTGATGGAGGAGGGAGTTGGGGCGTCAGAGTCAGAAAGAGGAGGGGTGTGGATCTCTTGGTCCTCCAACTGGGGCTTTGCACACGCCTCCCCTCACACCGTTATCTCCCGTCCTGGGCAGGGGAGGAGCCAGCAGTATATTTAGTCTTTGTCCTCGCCCCTTATCTCAGTGTCCTCTGCGAGGCTTGAGCAGCCTAGAGGGGACCCAACCTCTAGAGACCTCCAAGGTCACCGGGGACACCCCTCCAGGACCCTCCAGGAATCTCTGATCCCTTTCTCTGCCTCGGGGGATCAGCATGGCAGACGAGTAAGTGAATCTTGGGGACCTGGGACTGGAGTCCCTAAGGAACGGGGATAGGCGCGATCTGTCTTCAGGGGCCATGCCAGGGCGCAGCTTGGTTGGATACTTGGCCTGAGGTGGTAGAATGTGAGGGTGGTTGGATTTCTGGGTGGAAATGAGGTAAGGATTTGAGAATCAGACTCCTGGGGTGGAAGCTAGCAGCCCCAACCTCTTGGTCAGGGGGACCGCCGTCCTTGATCGCCTCTTCACGGTTTCTCTTCCTTCAGGAGCAGCGATGCGGTGAGCGCCCTGAGCTAAGGAGTGGAGTGGGAAACCCAGAGCGGGCGCTGCAGCCGACTGGGACGCAGCGGGCGGGGGAGCCTGCAGCTATAGGTGAGGGTACCCGGAAGGCCAGGGTGGCAGGGTTTGGGTAATGACTGTAGTCTGCTCCACCTCCCCAGCCGGCACCAGCCCCTGTCCGACGCCGCTCCTCTGCCAACTACCGAGCCTATGCCACGGAGCCACACGCCAAGGTGGGACGGGGTCCTAGAGGCCGGGGCCCCCGCTGGGCGGGGCTTCAGGGTTGAGACTCCTCAGGGACCCAAGGCCTTGGTAGGGGTGGCAGCACTCTGGTGATGGGTGGAGCCCGATGGGGGGGGCGCAGAATTTCGGAAAGGTGCCGGTTAGGCTTGGTGACAGCTGCCTGTGGGCAGAACTCCGCTGCCCACAGCAAGGCTTAGGCGATGCGGTGGGGAGCGGTGAATACATAGGCAGTGTGTAGCTCTAGTCAGAGCCCAAGCTTCCGGTGGACTCAGCTTTCTAGTTGAAGAATGGGTGGCCCAAATGTACGTGTACTCGGGGGAGGGGGGAGGTGGTGCCTTGCAGCCCCGCCCAGTGTCCACTTGGGGACCTCTCGCTGGCTGACCTTTTTCCATGTCACCCTGGCAGAAAAAGTCGAAGATCTCCGCCTCGAGGAAGCTTCAGCTGAAGGTGATGATGTGCTGGGAGGGGCAGGGCCTTGATGGGCGGAGCTTTTCTGGGCGTGGTCTCATTTGGGAGTGTGTCGTTACCCCCCCACACACACACACGCATGCACGCACGCTCACACACACGCCCGCGCAGAAACGAGACAGAGTTTTTGAGTAAAAGACACCAACTTGGATGTTCTGTCTCTCTGGAAGATGGAGGGAAATTTTTCATTCCTATGCTTTTGGGGGACGCTGTTGTCTGCTTCGACCTTTCCGCAGACTCTGATGCTGCAGATTGCAAAGCAGGAGATTGAGCGTGAGGCAGAGGAGCGACGTGGAGAGAAAGGGCGCGTTCTGAGCACTCGCTGCCAGCCTTTGGAGTTGGATGGGCTGGGCTTTGAAGAGCTTCAGGTACCACCAGCTCACAAAGCAGGGATTCCTGCCGAGCCTGGGGCCAAGCCCAGCCTGGGGCCCGTCTCTGGTCTGGCAAACCTCCGGTATCAGGAGCACAAAGCCCAGTCTCCGGTTCTGCTCGGGACCTGAAATCCTTATGCCAAGCAATACAGACAGCCCTACAACATCAAAAACCCAGTGTAGCCAAGCGGTGGTGGCGCACGCCTTTCACGCCTTTCACCCCAGCACTCGGGAGGCAGAGCCAGGCGGATCTCTTGAGTTCAAGGCCAGCCTGGTCTACAGAGCGAGATCCAGGAAAGGCGCAAAGCTACACAGAGAAACCCTGTCTCAAAAAACCAAAACCAAACCAAAACAACAACAAAAAACCCCAGTGTATTGCTCCAACCGTTGCCTGCCAAGTCTCAGGATTCTTGGTTCCTAGCCACATTTCTTTAAGTTTCCTGGAGTCCGGATTCCAATCTTGCTTCCTTCCAGCCCCGCTTTCCTCAGGTGCAGGAGTCCAGACCTCAGCACGTCTCTCTCAAACTCAGGGATGTAGAGCCCAGGCCTCCTCCCTCAGACCCAGGGATCTAGATCCAAGGCCTCCTCCCTCAGGCCAGGGAACCCCGTCTCCAGCCAGCCTCCCTCTCAACACGCATGCATTTCTTCATCAGGACTTATGCCGGCAGCTCCATGCCCGGGTGGACAAAGTGGATGAAGAGAGATACGATGTGGAAGCAAAAGTCACCAAAAACATCACCGAGGTGGGGACCTTGGGGAAGTCTGGGCACCTACATGGTAGACTGAGGTCTCCAGGTCTGTCCCTTCAGGCTGAGGGCTCCGTCTGCTTGTGCTTGATAGAATTAGTGGAGGGGCTACACCTTGGCAAAGGAAGCTGTTTCTGCAGAGACAGCACACGCGAGGCGGAGCCTGGGTGGCATACACAGGTCTGTGGAGAAGGGTGACTCAAGTACGGAGTAGTAGTAAATGAGTGGAGACCTGGGTCAGGCAGTCATGATCTGCACATTGCTGGGCTGAGCTGTGTCAGAAACTTTGACGGAAGGGCCCCGAGGAACATCTGGAAGTCAGAGCTGGAAGAGAGGCGGAAGTTTAGATACTGATGGCAAGGTAGGGGGGATAAGGGGGAAGTGTAGGTTAGAAGAGTCGTGTGCGAAGGAAGCAGAGGTAAGGGGGGCAGTCTCCATGCCCCCATATGGTCACCCCCAGATCGCAGATCTGACCCAGAAGATCTATGACCTGCGTGGCAAGTTCAAGCGGCCCACCCTGCGAAGAGTGAGGATCTCTGCAGACGCCATGATGCAGGCGCTGCTGGGGACCCGGGCCAAGGAGTCCTTGGACCTGAGGGCCCACCTCAAGCAGGTGAAGAAGGAAGACATTGAGAAGGTGAGTGTGGGCGAGGGCGAGGAGAAGGAGGGCAGATGCTTGAGAGGGTCTGAGCAGTCACAACCACAGTAAGGTCCAGACAAAGAGATGTGCTTGGGGTTCTCCTGAGAAGCAACTGGTGAAGGGAACTCAAGACGTCAAAAGGGAAGACAGTGCATTAGGGAGAGAGGAAGTAGCAAAGGGCAGGAAGTACCCGGAGACTGGAGGCGCTCGGGGGAGAATAGGGGTGCCCGGGAGAGAGTAGGGGTGCCCGGGAGAGACTGGAGGTGCCCGGGGGAGACTAGGGGTGCCCTGGAGAGAGTAGGGGTGCCCTGGGGAGAGTAGGGGTGCCCGGGAGAGACTGGAGGTGCCCGGGGGAGACTGGAGGTGCCCGGGAGAGACTGGAGGCGCCCGGGAGAGACTGGAGGTGCCCGGGAGAGACTGGAGGCACCTGGGGGAGACTGGAGGTGCCAGGGAGAGACTGGAGGTGCCCGGGGGAGACTGGAGGCGCCGGGGAGAGACTGGAGGCGCCCGGGGGAGACTGGAGGCGCCTCGGGAAGACTGGAGGCGCCCGGGAGAGACTGAAGGACCACGGGGGAGACAAAAAGTTCATAGTGGAGACAGGAAATGCATCGGGGAGACAAGAAGAGTAGACGGGGGAGACTAGAGGTGTATGGGGGAGACAGGAAGTACATGGAGGTGACTAGAGGTGTATGGAGGAGAACTGAGGTGCAAGGAAGTTGGCGAGATTGTCTGAGGAGCCAAGAAGCGCTCTAGAACCAGATTCTTGGACAGGCATTCAGCATAGAGTGGTCTAGCAGGCTAGAAGGCAGAGAGAGGGATATTTAGGGCATAGATACCAGAAAGAGTTCTTACCTTCTGACCTCTCACCTCCAGGAGAACCGGGAGGTGGGAGACTGGCGGAAGAACATCGACGCGCTGAGTGGAATGGAGGGCCGCAAGAAGAAGTTTGAGGGCTGAGCCCGGGGCTCCACCCACCCTTCGTGCTGAGGATGTGCCCGAGGAATAAACCTCTCTAAACTAGAAGTGACTCTGTGTGTGTGTGTGTGTCTGCTCCCCGGGAGTTTAGGCATGAGAAAGGTGGGGGTAATGAAGGTTGGTGTCCCCCCAAAGCCCTATAGGGGTGTGGTGACAGGCATGTTTCTAACATGGGATAGACTCCTCTGCAGAGGGCAGAGAACACGCTGAGTCCAAGGAAAGATGGGCTAGTGGACCCCAGAGGTGGCTCTGGGGTGAGGAGCACTGGCTGCTTTCCCCGAGGACCCTGCTTTGATTCCCAACACCCACATAGCAGTTCAAAGTTGTCTGTAATTCTAGTCTCGAGGGATTCTATACCCTCTTCTGGCTTCTGCTCATACAAGTAAACTATCCATACATATAACTTTTTTTTTAATTAAAAATGAAATTTTTTTAAAGTTCCAGGAAAGGAAAAATAAAAACATAGATATATTCACAGTGAGGCAGACAGATGATAGAGACACTGTAAAGAGACAGAAGTAGAAAACTCAGCCAGGTATGGCAGTGCATGCCTTTAATCCCAGCATTTGGGAGGCAGAGGCTAGCCTGGTCTACACACTGGGTTCTAGGACAGCCAGAGATACATAGAGAGACCCTGTCTCAAAAAAACCAAACTAACCAACCAACCAAACTAACAAACTCGTGAAAAGCCCCCACAGAAATAGAAAACGAGAGAGAGGGGGGGGGAGAGAGAGAGAGAGAGAGTCGGAAGGATGGAGAAAGGCAAAGAAAGGTAGAGTCAATGCAGAAGCAGAGCTTTATGTGACCACACACAGACGCCTCCAGGAACACACCAGGACAAAACCACGGAGAAACTGTTAATCCCGGCTGGAGAGGTGAGGGGCTGAGGGTCAGGAGTTCAAGGTATCATTAGTTACATAAATGAGTTTGAGGCTGGCACGGGCGACGTGAGACCTCAAATCTTTCATCACCCACACCCCCCAACAAAACAAAACAACTGCAGAAGTTTACAGCAGTCCAGAGAGAAAAGAGAGAGAGGCAAAGAGAGCCCCAGGAAGGGAAGGCAGAGCCCCGAACACCCACATAAACAAACCCACAGACGGAGAGCATGGGAAGCCTGCTTTCCGGTCACTGGATTCCCTAGAGTTCAAGGA